ATAAATTTATACCAGGGAGCAAACGTTGAGGGATCACTGTAGCATCGTTTTAGGGTTTACCTTGGTGTAAAAGGGGGTTATTTGAGATAAAACGTGGTACAGTGTATTCCGGGGTAAAAGGGGTTTAGGGTCAGGTTTTTTGGGACACCCATGGGGTTTTTATGCGCCGGGATTAGGGGTCAGGTTTTTGGGAAATACAGTTGGTGTGATATGATACCTGGTGACTTATATGTGTCATTAAAGCCTGGTTTGGGTGATATATTTGTGATATTTTTAACCGGAGATAAGGACATTAGACAGGGTGAATGAGGTCGAAATCCCGGGTTTAAGAATCTATGCGACATCGACGGCAATTTTGCAAGGGTGGTACCAGAGGACTGTAGGAGGGGTTTAGGTGCGTTGTGTTACTGTAGTGTGTCCGACGGTCGAGTCGAAGGTACAAGTTCGAGTCCCAGAGACGACGTCACTTGTTTACTAGTACTACTATAATACTACTAATGACACCCTTGTAACGCAATTGTCGCACAATGTACAGTTGGTGGCAAAAGTCTTCGTACCCCACATGATATTTTTCATCATTTGACTATAATTTTTGACATTTTGATGGGTTCGACAAGGTAAATACATTGCCATACAGATTAACATCTGCTCTATCTATAGGATGCTGATTGGGCACAAACGAATGAAAACTGAGCGTGAAAAAATGAAAACTGAGCGTGAAAAAATGAAAACAAAACATATGATACAAAAATTTCGATTCAAAAGTCTTCGTACCCATTGCCAAATTTTGTTGTAGCTCACACACTACTTCCCAAATCACCTCGTTAAACATTCAATTCACTTATCAAAGTGAACTGCATCCACTACACCATCAAAGCTACACTAATAGCATGTCAAACGACGCTCCACGTGCAAGCAAGGAGCTCTCACACGAACTGCGCTCCCTTGTTGTATCCAAGCACCTTGACGGGATGGGCTATGGCAAAATCGGCTCATGCTTGAGTATCCCCAAGTCAACAGTCCAAAGCATCATCAAAACGTATAAGAAACACAACCAAACGACACCACTCCCCCGCTCTGGTCGACGTCGTGCAACAACTCCCCATGAAGACCGTATCATCTTGCATGCAGTCAAGGTCGATCGTCGCCTCAGTGCTGAGTCTTTACAAGAAACGTTTTCTGTGTTCCACGACAAGGACATCTCGTCAACCACCATCCGTCGGCGCATCCGGGCAGTTGGTTTGCATGGTCGTGCAGTTAGGCGCAAGCCTTTCATCTCCAAGGCCAACAAGTTGAAGAGACTTTCGTACGCACAAAAGCACCAACTTCGAACCGTGGAAGACTGGAAGAAGGTGCTTTAGACGGACGAAAGTCCCTTCAACTTGTCGGGTTCCAATGGGCGGGTGTATGTATGGCGGAGACCTGGTGAAGAGTTCCTTGACGTCTGCCTCGCTCCGACGTTTAAGTTTGGCCGCCAAACGTTGATGGTGTGGGGGGGCTATCGGGTACAATGGGTTCGTTACACTTGTGTTTTGCGACGGCAAAATGAAGTCGACAGACTACTTGGACATGGTCGAGTCGAATTTGCCTGAGAACTTTGCGAAATTGGCGCTTCCGATCGACTTTGAGTTTCTCCAAGACAACGCGCCCATTCATAAAACCAAGATCGTGCATGAGTTTTTCGATGAAAATGCATTTTATATGCTTAATCATCCGCCCCAAAGTCCTGACTTGAACCCCATAGAACATGTATGGGAGTACATGAAGCGTAGAGTGTGTCAATCACCTCCTTCATCGCTCGAACAATTGAAACGCCGCTTGATTCGAATCTGGGATAATGTCCCAGTTCCTTTCATTCAGGGACTCATTGATTCAGCCTAAGCGGCTCAGTATGGTCATTGCTAACAAAGGAGGCGCTACGAAGTACTAGAAAGTGATTAAATGGGAAATAATTGAGTTTTTCCTGTTGGGTATGAAAACTTTTGCCACGGGTCAAAATAGTTTCTATTTCCCAGTTCGCTAAATCTGAGTACCTTTTCAACTATTGAGACATATTCTGAATGCCTAAATAGTGAGGAATTAAACGCACCATTCTGATAAGCGTAAACGTGCATACTTCAGAAAATACGCTAAAAATACAATTATTTTGCGATAGGTACGAAGACTTTTGCCACCCACTGTACAGGCCCAAAATTGTGCTCAAACCAGTTTGTCAAGCAGGGGCACATTGGTCGTTCTTGCTTTGGCCTTTTTCGCCGAATTCGGTCACTTACGGATAATATCCGGTCATCCGGAAGTATCCGGTGTCCTGTTTCTATAGTAGCCGACTGTTTCTGCCCAATCATAGGTCAGCTAAGCAGGCCGTTAATCATCACTTTTGGTTTTGTTCTCGACCACACAATCGCTCCTCGTCGTCGTTCCTCCTCAGTACTACCTACTTCCTCGTCCCTCTTGACAGGTTATGAGCCTCCTCCCTTCAACTGAGCAGCCCTAGAGCTCAGAGTGTTCGACTTGATCGAACTTGACGTACATCTTGCAGATGTTGAGAGCATCAGTAGCTGTACTCCGACGTAGAGTATAACTCGACGACCTCCGGTCTCTGGCCTACACCTTGTGGAAGACGGAGTTCTTGCCCCAAGTATATCCCGCGACCTTGTTGAGTTATACTCTACGTCGGAGTACAGCTACTGATGCTCTCAACATCTGCAAGATGTACGTCAAGCTCGATCAAGTCGAACACTCTGAGCTCTAAGTTGTGGATCCGACTCTGTTGGAGACGATCGTGATGCGTGTCTCGCGGATATGAAGGCGCCACGACCGCCATTCAACGCGAGGTCATTACCCGTGAGGGGACCAAAAAACTTGCGAATCAACGCTCTGTGACGCCCACCTTCTTGGTATGAGTAATTGCTACGAACCTTCGCCACCTCTCTCAGGCCACTACGTGTCCCTACGAGCTCATTTAGGACATCTATACTCATTTCACGTCGTACCCCATGGACAACAAATCTACCGTCATCGCTAGCTATCTCTGAACTCTCTCGTTCACTGATTAGAGTTGTATTGACACTGTCTCCGTGGAACTCATTGACCTAGTCAAGCACTACCGTGTGTCCATGGCCCCGCTGTCCTTCAGTCCTCTGGATACGATTTTCGTCTGTCAATTACCACAACCATATTCGGAACTACTACAGTACTACTACTGTACACTCTGTGTGTGATGTCTGACGCCTTTATTGGTGACAATGAATTATGGGAAGTCGTGACAAATTCTGTAGCCACTGCACGCGCCGCCAACAAGTCCGTCGTCGTTGCTGACGTCTGGAACTCTCTTCAGCGTATTATTATGAACCGCCTCCCACAAGCGTCTGCTCTGGGTGACCACTGCTCTGCCGCTACTACCCAAACTCAAACTCAACTCGCAGCTGTCAAACATGGCCCAAGTGATTACGCAAGCCGATGGCTCGGTTCATGTTATGAACGCCTTCACTATCCCGATCTATGCTCACCGTGATTGCGTCAACCACCCAGGCAAGTCCTGCTTCTACTGCGGCGTTGCTGATCACATGCTTCCTGTGTGCCCTACCCTCAAGTGCCCGCAACATTATGCGTCGTGTCTTTGACCGCACTGCCTTTGACAAACATGGCTCTGCCTCCCAAAACAAATACGCGATTATGTCGCCCCGTTGCGTCCATTTCAACGTCCTCGTGACGACCGCGATGATCCCGATGGGCATAGTTGCAACCAGGGCTCTAATAGCCAACATGGAGGGGACCAAGATCCTCTAGTGGTCCTGGAAAAGGCGGGTGAAACAACACTCGTGACAACAATCGCGACAACAACCGTGACCGCGACTGCAGCCGCCAACGCGACCAAGGCTACGGCCGCACTCATCGTGGAGGCCGTAATGACCAGGCTGGCATTTCTCCTCGTGCAGCCGCTCGTCCCTTTATTCACGATGGCAATCACCTCAATGGCTATACCAACACCCACATTTTATCCCATCACTTTGTGCCTCCCTCCACTCTCAACCGGGCCCTTCAGCGTCCCAACCCACCGTCGGTTTTATCAAAGGTGTTCCAACGGGGCTCTGCCCCACTCTGCGATGTGTTTGCATCACCGCCCCATAACCCTCCGCTTATTGCTGCTACAACCCTTGCTCCTATCACTGATGCACCAGGCGAGCTACCCGACCACTTCCCATCTCCTGTGGATGCCAGTGACCTTGACTTCTCTGAAGTCCGTTTCACCGAGGTACTCAGTACTTATTACCGAGCGTTTGCCTCTCTACCCACCGTGTCCATTGTTCCAAATTCCTGCGAACCCTATGAAAGTGGAACTTCCACTGTTCTCACCCAGTGCCTTCTCGGCTACCCGCAGCGAAATTAGAACCACGGTGTCGGAAACACCGATCATGGTGGTTATCCAACTGCCACCAAGATGTGTGGATGGTGTCCGTCCCCATCCCCCATTCCAAATTGTTGGAGGACAAGGCGTTTTCACCCTTCATGTGGACCTTCGTTGCTGTGAAAGCGACCCCGGTGACCTGTTGCTATTTATGCCGGTGCCGAGACGGAACCTGTTCCCGTAAGGTTCATCTCAGCGCCAAAGCTTCAGGCTTGATTCGTGGGCTTGGACGGGCATTTGGTGACAGTGTGTCCAGGCTGGCCGCAGAAGTGGCAGAGCTTGACTTGTTCGCCTGGGTAGTGTCCCGTCTAGCCGCAAAAGTTGCAGCGCATAATCCTTCGAGAGCATTCGCTTGCACCATGACCACGACGATCACAATGTTTTGCCCGCTGACCGTCATTTCGTCTGGCTTGGACGAGATCACCACTGGGATATGGCCAACACGAGCACGTCCGGCACCGAACATTTGATTTTGAGTCGATGTCAAGTTCGGTGGAAGGGTCGCTTGACCAGGAGGCGCAATGGTATTAGGAGCATAGGGTTGTTGATACCGCTGTCCATAAGACGAAGTCGAGGGTTGGATCGGAGGCGCTTGTGGATAGGCGAAGCCGTATGATTGCGACGGCTGGATCGGGCAGCATAATTGGGCTGAGCCTGACGAGTCAAGGCGTCGACGAACCCTTGCTGCACTTGGTTCGAACGCTGGATCAACGCAACGAACGTATTTTGTTGCTGAACCTGGTTCGTCTTCATGAGTTCGAGAAGTTGTCGCAATCGCCGCTTGGTCTTCAACCTCGATATGAGATCCGCAGCGCGACAGACAAGGCGACGCCGGAGGAGTCGAGAGTTCACTGGTAGTTGTACGAGACGACGTAGAGGCCGAGGAGTTGGATCGAGGCTTGGCGTACACCTGGGACTTGGCAATAATTTCGTCCGGGCGAACATCACGCATGCGAAGGAGTTTCATGCAGTCGGCGATGGAGTAGAGTTCGCGACCAGTGTGCTAGAGGCAAGATGCAGCACTGGCGTGACGAACTCCACGTTTGAACTTTGCGACTCCTTTACTTGCTGGGAAGTCCACTTCGTCCAACATCACCTGTAGTCGAAACCCCGGAAATGCTTAAATGCAATGCAGAAAACGGGACCTAAATTGAGAATTAGTATACTAGCATATGATGCAGAAAACGGGACTAAATTGAGAATTAGTATACTAGCATATGATACAGATACTGTATTAATTTTATTTTGTATAGTGTCAAATTCCATGTAAGGTAATCCATTAATACCGCGAACGCATTTGTGCACTAAAATGTCAAATGTTTGAAGCACTACACCACAAAAAGTCCCTCGAATAAAAATAACTAAATGTAGCGTTGGAATATATAAATCCAGCTGCACTTTTTAGTGCCATGTGACCTAGAATTTGATTAAAGACCCATCAAGATGGGAAAAGTCACCTCAAACGGAGTCCATACTCGGTTTATCCGGCTCGTCAGCGGCAGCATCGTCGCATAGGAGAGAGGCCCTTGCCCTATGAACGTTCGAATCCGAGTACACGACACTCGTCGAACTCGCCAAGTAACTTCTATGGTTGTGCGGCCTCGTACAAGAACTCGAGTTAACCCAAGCGACAGTCGAGACCTACAGTACAACACGGCCGCAATCTGCGGAGAATCGATATGCCATCAGCAAGCGCGCCACCCACATCACGCGCATCATAGAAGCCACCAGGTCGCCCGGTCGATGACACACCTCCACCATATCTATCAAGCCATGTGTTGTTAATTGAAGAAGTGCCTGAAATATCCCAATAATCGATTTGAATTTTGAAATTACAACGTAACGTTAAGAATTGGTGAAAAAACATTTGGCTTTGTATTTCGCTGAATCGCAAAACATAAATTGCAGCGAATGAATACATGGGGAATTGATGAAGTGTATAAAAATCAGCACTCACCGCTACGAACGCAAAATTCAAACCTATCATACCGTCGTCCGTTGACCTCGTTGAAATCGCCCTTCTAATAGGCAATATACACTCAATAACGTAAACGTTGATATCATATATCGCTGGTCAGACGTGTCTATCAGAGAGCTTCGTCACAATGAGTAGTAGCTCGGACATGTTGAACATCATACTCTTATTGTAGAATTCGCACTGCGCTCGTGTATTGCCTTCATACCAGGGGAACAGTGTATGTGGTCGAAGACAGCGTGCGTTGGGCTGGTGCCGACAGATGAAAACGAGAAATGGGAATGTGATGAATCTATCCACTCGTTTCAGTCAAATTAAGGGGTACAAATTTACTAAGCCCATTTACGTGGTCATGTCGATGTATTGAGGCGCAGTTGTTGTAATATATTATGATCGTGCTTACCTAGAGAATCTTTGGATCCGCCCTGCGTAGCGCTTCAGAAAGGCCTATGAGCCTTTTTAGAGGTGGGCTGATGGTATCATGCTCGGTATGGCCCTTTAGTCTCCATCATGTGAGGCTGGTCGCCATTCGTCGTGAGGTTGTACGCCATTGTCGTGCGGTTGAAAGATGTGCATTGTTGGCGCATGTTCATTTGGACGAAATGATTAGACTTAAATAGACCAGAAAAAGTAAGTCCTCAGTTTGCAATTTAATTCGGCCTATGCAAGAGGTTCCCGTCCGGATAACTACGGGGGCGAAAACAAAGAATTCTTTAGCCTCATCACCCGATGAGGGATCTGACCACCAACGCTCGCAGTCCCCTGTTAAATGGACCGAGCGAGCCCGATCCGAGAAGCCGAATGCGGCCGTCCCCTGCACCGTCAGATCACTACCCCGTTCGCCTCTCCACGCCAGCGTAATCCACCATCTGTTGACCAGCGATTTCAACCTGGAGGCTACGACCAACATCCCATTTACGGTACCCACACTGACCCCCTTGACCACCCATTTGATACCCCAGCGCCAGTTGTGACACCAACTGGTGCCACCAACCTGCCCCTGTCCCCGATGACGACTATATGGGACAAGGCGACGGGCGCGGATTTGTGTACACCGCGCCGGCGCTCCCTTACCGCCCTCCTTCAACGTCTCGACCAAGTCGGAGTGGCGGACTTTCATCCGCCAGTACAACAAGTTACTGGAACAAGTCAATGTCCTCCGCGTGCATAGACGTCTTCACCAAGAAGCGTGTGGTTTTGTGGGTCATGGCCAACCACGACTATCGTGACATCACGGAGGCAGAGTGGGTCGCATGGTTTGGCAAGGCGTTTAAAGAGGAGCCTCAAGACCTGGAAGTGCTCAAGAAGATTTTGACCACGGCGAACCGATTCGACACGACCATCCTGGACGCCGACTCGCGCATTGGCATTGACAACCTGATGCGAGCTTTGGAGCGCAACGACCAAGCGTCGGTATTGGACTAAGAAGGCAAGACAGTTGTTGACATCATGGTCAAGACGATCACTTGGCCTGCAGAAGTTGTTCCACACCAGCTGGCCCTCCAACGCAACAAGCCGTTGAAGACCGACGTGAACCATTTCCTGGACTGGCTGCGCGTGCATACCGCCGGGTATGCCCCGCGGAAGTCGAGACGACTTTGGCAATGCCTGCGACGGCAACCGTAGCGCCATCGCTACCGTCCAAGCCTGGACGATCGGATGGCAGCGGTACTAGCAGCAGTGGGTCTCTTTGTGGCGATGAAGATGAAGGCTTGACCGCGGACCTCTTCCAGAAGCTGCGACTCCTCCTGGTCAAGCACTGCGATGTATTCCACCTGGAGATCAGCCACGACGAGCCGATCAAGGTGGAGCCGCTGCGGGTGTGAATCAAGCCTGGCGCTGTCCCAGTCAAGTGTGGCCTGTGGCGATACCCCCAGCCCATGTGGATTTCCTGAAGACACATGTGCGCGAGCTCGAAGCAGCCAGTCTGGTGTACCACAACAATCGCGCAACATGGGCCTCGGCGCTGGGCATAGTACCCAACAAAGACCCTGGTGACTTGCGCATGACCATCGACAGCCGGCGCATCAACGTGTACACGGAGCCTATGCCGAAACTCGATGCCGACCTGACTGCCTTGGTAGACGCACGAACGTTCGTCACCATCGATTTGTTCAAGGTCTACTGGCAGCTGGCGCTCCATGAAGATTCCCAAATGTACCACTCCTTCATGACCCCCTTTGGAGTGTACACGACCACAAGAGTGCTTATTGGCCAGACCGACGTGGTCGTGTTCTGTCAGTCGGCGGTGGACTTCATGTTTGCTGACCTACTGTTCAAAGGACCCAAAAAAGACCCCTTGCCTGGCTCGACGACATGCTAGGTTACGCCGAGACCCCAGATGACATCCTCGACCTCTTTGACCAAGTCCTCACGATCGGCTCCTCCTTCGTCCTGAAGCTCAACCCGAAGAAGTGCGACTTCTTCCTGGCCAAGACCGTCTGGTGCGGCAAAGTGGTATCAATTGAAGGCGTCCAGCACTCCCGCACAAGAATCCAAGGACTGTAAGCGTTCGCGCCGCCTGCCACGGCTGCAGACCTCCAACGGTTCGTGTGCGCGACCAACTGGATGCGGTCCAGCATCCCCTGCTACACCGAGCTTGTGGCGCCGCCCCGCCAACTCCTCGATGCAGCAACCAAGCAAATTGGAAGGGCGAAGAAGACAAAGCTCACCCGCGTCCAACTCACTGCCGCTGGCTGGGACGTTGTCCATCTGACCTGCTTCGACAAGATCAAGGAAGCTCTCTTGGTGATGGCTACCTACGGGTAGACATGATGGCCTGCCTTCACACCGACGCAAGTGAAGGCTTTTGTGAATGGTCAGTGCAATGATCCACGTTGATTCAGGAAGCGGCCCGGGGTTCGAGCCCCGGTAAGTGTAAAAGCTTTTTCCAATCAAATTTAAAATTCTACTTAAAATGAATACATTACAAATTTATTCAATAAACCGTTCACAAACAATAGAAATTAGATTTTTTATTACAATAGCATAAAAGACCAATGGCTTTCGTGAACCTCCAAATGCAACGAATCGCTTTCTCAAAACGGAGAGTGACACACGTTGTTCACCTTGTCCCACGCAAGAATCGCTCTCTTGATCATCGCCATCCACTTCTGTGCTTGAGGGGTCGAAGTCATCGATGATCTCCTCGGTCAACCACACATCGCGCAGGTAACGTTGAATGACGCCAACATCCAATGGCTGACACATCTATGTTGCATTAGGTGGTAGGGGGACCAGGAAGCCACTAAGTTTGTTTTCAAGAATCATGTATGACTCGTCGCTGACGTGCGACTCAAAGTTATCGAGAACGATGACAGACGGTTCAGTGAGCGAATGTACATCTACCATACATTGTTGTCCATCCATGCATGCCTTCGGTTGAATGGGGGGAGGGAAAATAGCTCAGTGGTAGAGCTTCGGTTTCTTAACTCAATGGTAGTCGGTTCGATCCCCAGCTTCCCTGGATTATTTCTCCCCTGGGGAATCCGGATAACAAGGACGAGGTATGAAGCGTTGAGCAAAGTAAAAACCGAAAATTACACACCGCCCCTGATCGAGCAGGCGCGTTACAATTGGCGAAGCGGTTCCACAACATGTGGTTCTAGTATCGGACCTTGCGGAGGAATGTCTTAATAATGATAATCCAAAACTCAATTAACCTTCGGTTGAATGGCACAGAAATGATCGCGAGGATACCTTGGACGTTCATGGGTGTTGATACGACCACCAGGTACACCACGAATCACCAACAACAGAGGCAGCTTGGTACCGCACGGTAAGCACAGCAGTCCTTCGAAGTGAGTGCTTCTCTCCAGTGGAGATCTTGGCATCGCCGTCATATTCGGACCAGATGTACTTTGGAGGAATTCCATAGTAGAACCCTGTCTCATCAACATTGTAGATAACGTCCTTCTCGTATGCCTGGTATGACAGATGGAATTCTTCAGCAAACTGTTCTCGGACTTCGATGAGAGCAGCCTTTGCGCTGTTGCTGTGACCCGCTTTTTTATGCGAGTAGCCGTGTCGATAGAAGTAGTAGGAGGCCTTGGTAGCCGGGTTGTTTCCCACACCGATAGAGGCTCAACCATTCAACTTGATGGCGCTTGATCCAGTTGAAAATGTGCATCGTAGTCAACGCGCGATCGCGTATTTCGATAATATACTCGACAAGTCCAGCGGGGTCTGGAAACACTTCATTTCATCCACCGGGGCTGATCTTAATACACTTCTTGTTGCCATCGTACGCGTAGATGTCAGCCTGTTGGTCGAGCCAAGAACGTAGAGAACGTCGTCATGGCACTCCAAGTTCAGAGGAGACCTTCCCATCGGACATGAGTTTTAGATTCTCGAGAGCTTGGAGCTTCAACGACACAGTGTAAGAGCGCTTTGGAGCACGTAAGGTCGAGTTCATTGTTGCCAAAATGAGAGGCAAAATTGTCAAAATAATTTTAGGCGGGAGAATAATGTCTTTACGACTTCCAACTCCAAGGTGTCACCGACAGCTGCTTCGGCGAGCACACTGAAGTCGGACTACGTCACCGTGCTGACAATCTAATATCAATCGCGATGTGCTCCTGGGGCGATAACATACACTCTTTGTAGCTATCCTCTATTCGACTCGTCAACTTCGAAAGCGAGGGCGTACGTAGCGCAAAGCTGTTCCGATGTGTGTGGCGACGATCCAAGAAAGAATCAGTACGGCAACGTTGAACAAACTACGATGTTATGGCACAATGACGTAACCAGGTGTCCTTTCGGCGCAATATCTCTCTACTTATATGCACATTGGTATGTTGAAGATTAGTCTTGGCCCACTAGCACAGTCCACAATAATCGAATGGAAATCCGAAGCTGACGTTTTTTCAGATCTTTCGACGATCCTACTGTACCGACATGCACTTCTTCCTGGAGGCGAATGTCGCCTAAGTTGAGGATGCGTTCCGGAAACTAGGCCTGGGTCGTTATTACGTCGGACATCGAATCGAACAAGAGGTTCACACTCTCCATGGTGACCAGCTTCGGGAGTAGTATGTCTGTCGCCTCTATTTGTTTTCCTGGCGAAAGGGTTGAAAGAATATTGAGTGTTGAATTGAAGTGTCGAATGCTGCAATGTCAACTTAACCAGAGGGTTTCATGAATGACGATGTGTTTAGAGTATGGCTCAGCTTATTTTCTACTTCTTTCGATGAATCAATTATTCGTCTCGTGTGGTTGAGTTTTTGATGGCCTTCCTTCGCATAATTCGTCGGACATTTTACAGTACACTGTAGCATTCTGTAGTTGACTTGAAATCCTACAGTTGTTTCTTCGATCAAATGCCACGCCTCTGGACGTTTCTGTGTTTGGTCCTTACAAGTCTGCAATTCAAAAAGCTATCATTAAAGGATGGTCCATGACGGTACGAAATACTACACCTTTTCCCAATCAAGTTGCGCACTTTTTCCAATCAAGTTGGCAAAAAAACGTTTGAAACGTCATTTTTAAAACGATGGGTGGTTAAAAACACACAAATTTCCAAGCCAATATGAACTTTTTCCATTCAATATGAACTGCCTACTGACCATACACCATGCTCTCCAATAGGATGGCTTTTTCGACGTTGCGCTGACAGAAGATGACCTCGCGGACCACCAACGGCTGCGTGATGCATGGCAGCGACGCGCGAGCAGCATCCTCAAGTAAGACCATTCGTCGTTCGAGAAACGTCCCATACTCACCACGTTCGAACATAGCATAAGTGTGGAGGGCGAGGTAGCTCTTGATGCGAGCCTTCAAGACGCTGAAGCAGCTTTCGATCGGGTTCAGCATCGGTGAGTAGGGGCCAAGGCGCAGCAGCGTCATGTCATCGTGTTGGACAACGCG